AATTAACCAACTTTGAAAGTATGGAGGGAAGCTAGAGTATATTATTATTCTTACTGTTATATAGGCATGCTTTTCCGATACCAACTACGTTGTGCTACTTTTTTTTTTAAATTAATATCTCCAAAACGGTTAATTTTAGAAGTTGGAAAGCCTCATGAAAGTGTACCTAGAATTATAAGTAGAATTTAAAACCGTCATAAAATATAGGGCGTTACGTTTAAAATAACGAAGTTAAGGTCAACTTCCGGTGTAAGGAGAGCATACCCAATAACGCAACTGTACAAATTATCAAACTTTACGTTGAAGTAGTTTCTGAAATATTAGATTCTGCACTATTTAAGTCAAATAATAAACGTAGCTCTTGCTTGTTTTACGCTTGCTTGGGTCTCTAGCTATATAAAAAAAAGAGTTAGGTATATTTGAAGAAATAAGGAAAACTGAAATTACAGTCGAGAACCTCAAAAAAGAATCATACGTTTCTAGATTAGCAGAGAATTTAAGATATTATTTTTGTTGTTGGCCTGAGTGAAACACATTTCTTGTCAGTACGTCTTTTTATATTTCTTTCTAGTTCTATTTTTCCGTATGTAAATAGAATGTCCAGAAGTAGTTAAGTAATTCGTTGTTTTTCTGCTCATTTAGAATTTATTTGTGTAATAATGTTGTGGAGAGAATACCCCATGTTCATTCGTTTTGTTTTTCGTGGCAGCAAAAAAAAATCACTTTCCCTTCATTCGCTTGCATACAAACCGTTCCATTTTGCAGATTGATGTGTTCCATTTTCGCCAATTGGAAGAAGGGCCTGTTCCACGGCCTAAAATGGAAACTCTACAAAGTAATAAATATGAATAATCCTGCGCTATATTTCATCTCGCTCTTCCGACGCGAAATTCAAATATCCTTTTGCACTAAAAAACAAAAACACTTGTAACTTTATTGCTTGTTTTCGAGATCGACCGTCGCGACCCTCTTGGAGAGTGACAAATTGCGTTTACAGAGATATTCCTGTAAGTTCCGTGACGAGGGCGCGGGATTCCCCGATGATTATATCGGCCTCGAAGGAATTCACTGAGTGCCTCTACTCCACCCTCTTTGCCCATTCGCTTTAGAGGGACAAATGTATCACATAGTGCAGTGTAGGCGAGTTCCTATGTGCTTTTTGAAGATGTCGCGACCACATTCAATTACATCCATTTTCTCTTCCAGAACGGTCGGTTCAAAGACTTTTGCCGAAAAGTGTGCGTATAGGTCCGACCCAAACGACATTCATCTTATCTCGAAAGATTGATAACGCGCATCGAATTCTTTCTAATCGAAGTGTTCTGCCTGGCAGTTTTACAGATAAAATGGTTCTTTAAATGCCACTTTATTTTATAAAGGTTCCTTTTTCAAAGATGTAAACTATTCCATACAGTATGAATCTCGTACATATATAAAATTGTCACCAAACACAAACATTACAATTTTTTGTAAAGTCAACAAAACTAAGAGGAAGTTTGTATTCGAAACCTACTTAAGTCAGGAAAACATACAAAAACCCCTTAAATTAGGTGCAAATAAAGGGTGGTCATAGGTATTTAGAATAAATAAATGTGTATGATTGTCTGTTTTTCCGTCACCGTTAGTTAGCTGTGGAAAAAATAACCTAGAATTGTACTTTTTGATATAAACCAAGTATTTATCAAATGTATAGATCTGTAGTCCGTAGGTACCTATAAATAAATAAAATGCCTGTAATAATGTTGTTAGGTTTGGTTGATTGCTTGTTATTAAGACACAAAAGATCCTTAAAAAGTTTTTATCTTTCTCTGTGTACGTGCTAATCTTCGAAACGTCTAAACCGATTTCGATGTGGCATTGCGGAAATGAGGAGGTGGTTGTCAGCAGTGATTTAGACTACCTCTTTAAATGATTTATTGGTTATAACAATTATATTTATTATGAACAATTAGAAACAGTTTTACGCCGTCAAAGACACGAGTAAAAGCTAGTCATCCATCATTATCATCATCATAGAATCGTCGGCTCTATCCTGAAACAATCTTCACATTTATTTAAAATTAGAACATCCCACATCCCTAACTATTTGCGAATAATAATCTAATGTAGGGTTTCCTTTGCTCCTCGTTACACGTATTTGTGCTTTTAATATGTCTCTCGTTTGCGATAAAATGTTTTACACCCTCATGCATTCCAATGTTAACTATACCAATGCCATAAGCATGCCTAAAGTAAGTTAACAGGTTTGAAGAATACTGCTGTATAAATCGTATGAATTAGCAGTTGCAGTTGCAAAAAATATCTACTACTGTGGAAGAAGAATGCACCACGCATCCATGATACAATAAAGCTAACAAGGTAGTAGGATTGCAAGCGAACTGTAAATCGTCTTTCTCACGCATAACGTAATCTTGAGAGTTTTCGTCAATTTTGAATACACATACAATACGTTAAATGTTCAGATTATTAAAATTATATTTTTTATGGTCGAAAAAACAAAATAAAAGTTTATACATAAAAATATGAAAACCTATCAATAAATATATCTTTATATANAAATAGGCGAGATAGGTTGGTAGGATTTATATATATATTTTTAATGTTTATGTAACTTTAATCGATTGTTTGTATTTTAACTGGAGCACTTATGTGACTTCATTGTTTTGTAACTTTTTGTTGTAAGAGTTGTTTTGCTGGTTTAAATGTGCGTCATTAAAATAAATAAATTAAATAACAAATGAAAATACTGTAATTGAAATCTGTTCTTTAATAAAGTCGACATTACATAGAGTTCTCCCAGGTGGTATTACATTATGTGGTGACACTCAAAATGTTATTTAGTGACAATGTTCATCATCATCATAAGACTGGTTGAACACACACCTCCACTCTTTCCTATCCTGAGCTAATTTTCAAATGTCCCAAAACTACAACATCCCACATCCTTAACTATTTGCGAACAGTAACTAGTGTTCTGCTTCTAATGTCTTTGACTAGCCCTTCATACCTGAGGTGTTCTACCAGCCTGTATCGCATATTTCTTATTGACTTCCATAGAGTCCTCTGTTCACCTACTTTTTCTAATACCTTTTCATTTCTAACCTTCTCTGTCCATGGTATCATCATTAGCCTTTAACATCACATTTCGAACGCTTCTTTTCCGCCGTGTCCACCGACCATGTTTTCCAACCGTACAGTACCCGCTCCCAACATACACCTTTAACAATCTATTTCGAATTTTTAAATTAAGCTTTCGTGAGCATATAAGTGACTTCTTTTTATGAAAAACGACTCTACCGTGTGCTATCCTCTGCTTTATATCTCTACTACTTCTTCTGATTTATCTAACTTCCTAGATACCGAAAATCAGTGACAATTTTTAAGGAATAATAAAGATAATTATAATCCTCACTGCATAGATCTTTTTATACCTAACCATAGTATTTTACAATATTTGAAACGTAGCATTGTCTCGCGTGTATGTATCATTGAAAAATTTTTGGTATACTTCATTTACTTTCTCTAGCGATGTGCCCACTCCAATATTTTGGATGCGGGTTGGTAAAATCGTAGGTAGGGAGAAAAAAGCTCATTATACTCTCGACTCTTGTTCATTAAACATGCTTTTTCATACAGTACCTGCCAAATTTTGTTCAATGATGAATGGTAGGGCGAGTCGAAAACAAGCGTTAAAGCCTTTAATATATCTTCAAATATAAATAAACATCTCGTTGATATTTTCAGTACTAAATGGTACCAATAACAGCACATTTGAGCAATGCAATTGTAGTGGATAAAATAGTCAATTTTTCCGTGCAGTACTGTACGGATTATACGCTCCTTACCGGTTAAGAGTTCGGCGGAGAGTTGTTTCCTTCCTTTTCTGGCGTAGTGCTGTTCTTTTCTACTTTGCGCCGGTCAAACTGAAGGTCACATCGCTACAGAAAGTAAACGAAGTACAGTAACCATAAAATTACTGCGACTTTAATGGTAACTTTGTTTCTCATGGTAAGCATTTTCAGAGTAGGTATGACAGGTGCTCGATGGAATAATGTATAAGTATAAGCACTTAAAAAGCAGTAAATTATAGCATACCTACTTACTTTTGGAAACAAAGTAGTTTATTAAGAAAATTTGAAGTGAAATTGCTACATTAGCTTTCACTCACTTATGAGAAATGGAGGTTAAAATTCTAAATACAATATTATATTATCACTAAAAAGTATGAAACTATTATTTATTATGTAAATCGTTTTGTGATTTAGTGATGTGGTGTGCTAACTTGAAAGAAGACCAATGCAGGTGAAATATATATTGCAAGTAAATAAAATTTCTTGTAAAAATCTTCAAAGTTGTGTTCCTCTTCATTCATTTAATAGGATAAGGAGTATTTTTTCCAGTTTGTTCAACCATCCGCCTAGCTCTACTTACTTAAAACGATTATCTTCTTATCTCCAATGTATAACATTTTATTTAGGTACAGATGTAATACTTAAGGTAGTACAATAGATGTATTTAAGTGTTCTATCAAAATTTTTCGTTGTAAAGATAATCTAAAAAAGGAAGACTTAAGACTTGTTTTAGGTTACCTTGGTTTCTATCAAAAGGCTAATTGGATTACCTGCACACTTAGGGAGCATGAAATATCCATTTAAAAGGGTCGAATTCCTCGAGGAGCATTTTAATACTTTTGCAAGGGCATTATATTAAAGAAAACTTTTAAGAAGAGGAAACTGTGTTCCTTCGTTCTCCCGAAATTAATGTAAGAATTATATGGAAGCTGGAAATGAGAACTCCAACTTCGTGTTTTTATTTTAATAAATTACTTAAGTATTCGAGGATTTAATGTTAAGGGTAGGTTTCACAGTTATATCGTCCCCGGTTTCTTTTAGCCACCGAATATACAACCGCTAAGTTTTATTCAGACAAACAAAAAGTTGTATTCGTTTTACTTACCTACATAATTTAATATGAAAAATTTAGGATATAATTATTTTTACCTGGATCCAGAAGGGCAAATAAAATCCGGAACAGCACAATATTGCGGCTACGATTGATAAAACAGACCAAATGAAACCTATCGCTGTAAGTGATGACGCCATTTTGGTTCCTCGGTCATAAAATGGATTTGTTTGAAAACCACATGTACGATTCCGAAATGATCATGGCTTCTGTAAAGTCTTCCTTTTAATCAACCTCCTGCAAAAAGAAAAGAAACATAGCTACAATCATTGTAGTACAACTGTACAGTAATCATAAAATTTCCATTTGTTTTAATATGCGTTTAATCAAGGTCCTAAAAATTTGCAGATTAACTAAGAAAATAATATTAAATATCTCATTCAATGCTTCAGTGTGTAAAGTACTGCCAGACTTCAATCGAAAAATGAGATTGTAACCAAACATTGAGGAATGTGTTCTTCGAATCATCTTACTGGTATAAAATTTGATTTCAAGTACGGGTGCGAAACATGGACAGTGGGCGCGGCAGAAAAGGAAAGGTTGGAAGCGTTCGAAATGTGGTGTTATAGGCGGATGATGAGGATAACGTGGGTAGAAAAAGTTAGAAATGAAGAGGTATTGGAAAGAATAGGAGAACAGAGGACTCTATGGAAGTCAATAAAAAATAGGCGAGATAGGTTGGTAGGACACCTTCTCAGGCATGAAGGTCTAGTCAGAGACATATTAGAGGCAGAAAGGGAAGTAAGGAGGGGTGGAGGTAGACCTAGATTAGATTACTTTTCGCAAATAGTTAAGGATGTGGGCTGTTCTAGTTTTAGGGAAATGTGAAGATTAGCTTAGGATAGGAAAGAGTGGAGGTGCGTGTCCAACCAGTCTTAGGACTGACGACTTTATGATGATGATTTGGGAGGTATGGCTGTTTGAACTATTTAAACATCCAAGGCGCGTAGATGATATCCAAGAAATCCGAATTTAACCCTTTCTTTTATTTCATTTTTTTTGTTGGAGTAAGAAAGGTCCAAGGGTGTCAATTTCGATCACATTTGTCCAGTTGACACACATACTCAAATTCACATACGTATACGCCTGGAAATGTATACACGCATAAGGACTTTTAATATTATGAGGGAAATTTTTATATTTAGATAAATTTGATTCAAAAAACTTTTTCCCAACGGTTCATTATAATCTATTCTTCTATATAAACTGTGGTAGTTTGAAAGTTTCCCGCAATTTTCCGCTGTCAGCGCCAGTGACATCACACTGAAAGGTCAGAGTGTGACTCTGTTCTCACTCAGCAATAACAATAAAAAGTGGACTTAAAAGGCATGGCAGCTCAGTTGACGATAGGAGAGGTAAGTTTACATTACAGATGCTGAAATATTAGATCTGTTTATGTTACAAGTCGTAGGTAGACATCATAATCGACCACATAAGATGAGTCAAGCAATAGTGCTACAGAAACATATTAAAGGTCGCATATCCCATTATATAGGGTTGTTCGGAAAGTCATTTCGTTTTTTCCCGACAGAGGATTTAATTGTATTCTTTTGCACCCAACTTCACATTTAAGCCGTATAATTTTTAGATGCTTTGAGAGCTCATATAGCAAGGCTTGTGTGTGAAAAAATCTAATTAATTCTACGCAGTAGTTTTTGGTTGATGCCCTTTTAAATATGAAGAGCGATAAGCAGCATTTTCGACATATCTTACTGTTTTACTACAGAAAGGGTAAAAATGCTATTCAAGCCAGAAAGAAATTGACTGATGTGTGTGGAGAAGGTGTGTTGACAGTATGGCAGTGCCAGAATTGGTTCGCTAAATTTCGATCCGGCTATTTTGATGTCGAAGATGCACCACGTTCGGGAAGGCCGGTTGAAGCTGATAAAGACGCGATAAAGGCATTAGTTGATGTGAACCGGCGAATAACAACACGTGAGATCGGATTGAGGTTAAATTTATCAAATTCAACAGTTTATGACCACTTGAAAGGCCTGGGATTATCCTCGAAGCTCGATGTATGGGTTCCCCATGTTCTCACAGAGAGAAATCTGTGTCGCCGCATTGACGTCTGCGATTCGCTTCTCAAACGTCACGAAAATGATCCGTTTTTGAAGCGCATCATCACTGGGGACGAAAAATGGGTTGTATACAACAACGTCAAACGCAAGAGGTCATGGAGCAAAAAAGATGAACCGGCTCAAACCATTTCCAAAGCCGATATTCACCAAAAAAAGGTGATGCTGTCTGTTTGGTGGGATTTTAAAGGAATCGTTTTTTTTTAGCTTTTACCGGATAACACAACGATTAATTCGGAAGTCTACTGTCATCAGCTGGACAAACTGAATGATGCACTTCAACAGAAAAGGTCAGAACTAATCAACAGGAAAGGTGTAGTGTTTCACCAAGACAACGCGAGACCTCACACAAGTTTGGTCACTCGCCAAAAGCTTTTACAGCTTGAATGGGATACAATGCTACACCCACCATATTCTCCAGACCTGGCACCATCGGATTATTATTTGTTCCGGTCACTCCAAAATTTTTTAGACGGTAAAACCTTCACCTCAAATGAGGAGGTCAAAAACCTCCTCGATCAGTTTTTTGCCAGCAAAGACCAAAAATTTTATGAGCGTGGAATTATGCTACTACCAGAAGGATGGCAAAAGGTGTTGGACCAGAACGGTCAATATATAATTTAATAAAGTATTTGTTTATTATACGAAAACTGTCTTTCATTTCCACAAAAAGAAACGAAATTACTTTCCGAACAGCCCTATAGTTTAAAAAAGTCAAGAAAACTGTATCTTCCCGAGACTTTAAATATTAAAAAGATGTATCTCTTTTTTTGTGAAAAACATCCGGATCAGAAAATAAGTTACGAGCCTTACAGACTAATTTTCACGACAAAATTTAACATTGGCTTTGGGTATCCCAGATCAGGTACCTGCAGTTACTGCGACGAAGTTAAAGTCAAAAAGTCTCCCTTGGAGACTCAACTAAAAAACATAGGTGCTGATAATCAAGAAAAGAAGTTAGATATAGAAAAAGAGGTGAGGACTACTGAAAATCAACACAAATTACACATTCTCAAAGCGTAAACCTTTTACAAAAGAAAACGTAATGCTAAGAAAAATGCCCGAAAACAAGTAACCTTTGAAGCTATAACAATGGATTATTCAAAGAATTTACCAACACCGAACATTACAACTAACAATGTTAATTACAAACGGCAATTGACGTTCGTAAGTTTTAATATTCACATCCTTTCATCTGGGCAATCGGTTTTTAATACATACCCGCAAACTGTTGCTAAAAAAGGGTCAGATGATGTTGTGTCTCTTTTATATCATTTTTGCTTTAATTTTCTTGACCCAGGAGTACGACATCTTGAGATCTTTTGTGATTCCTGCGCTGGGCAGAATAAAAATTATACCCTCTTAAGATTTTTGCATTTTCTCGTACATAAAGATAAGCGCTTTGACTGTGTGATTGCTACATTTCCTATAAGAGGTCATTCCTGCCTCGAATGTGACAAAGACTTTGATCTAATTAACCAGAAATGTAAAGTTGACGTTCCATTGCAATGGGTGGAAGTTTTTAAAAATGCCAGATACAAACCACGACCATTTGACGTTGTAGAATGTAAGCAAGACATGTTTTTCGTTTGGAAAGACTTTCTGGCACTAACTTATAAGAAGAAGTGCCCATTTTCCACAAGACCACGTAGAGAAATTGTAATACGCCATGAACATCCAAGAACAAAAAAAATACGATAAAAAATAATTAAATGAACAACTTCTATGCTCGCGAACGGTTATTTAGTAATTCAAAAAATGTTGTTAAAGGTGTATGTTTGGAGCGCGGTGTTGTACGGGTGCGAAACATGGACAGTGGGCGCGACAGAAAACAAACAGTTAGAAGCTTTCCAAATGTGGTGTTATAGGCGAATGATGAGGATAACGTGGGTAGAAAAGGTTAGAAATGAAGAGATATTAGAAAGAAAAGGAGAACAGAGGACTCTATGGAAGTCAATAAAAAATAGGCGAGATAGTTGGTAGGACACCTTCTCAGGCATGAAGGTCTAGTCAGAGACATATTAGAGGCAGAAACGGGAGTTAGGAGGGGTAGAGGTAGGTAGACCTAGATTAGATTACTGTTCGCAAATGGTTAAGGATATAGGTTGTTCTAGCTTTAGGGAAATGCGAAGATAATCTCAGGATAGGAAAGGGTGAAGGTACGTGTCCAACCAGTCCCCGATCTGGGTGTGTTACGTAGTTTAAATGGCTTTTTTCTTCTCTATGTTTTTTTTTATGCGTTCTTTATACATTGGATCATTTGTTTTCCTGTAGTAGGTCCTAATACGTAATTTTTGGTGTTTTATTTGTCGTTTTCTTTGTCGGCCTAATTACGGACGTCATATGTAATAAAGCGTAATACGATATTTAGTAATAACGTTATCGAATTTTGTTTTAGTTTGGTCTTGTTTTTGGATTTTATTTTTATTAAGTTGTTTTATTTTGGTCCTTGGCCTAACTAAGGGCGTCATATGTAATGATAGCATACGATTAAAAATTAAAAGGAATACTCACCCCCTAATTACCACAAACAATTTTATTTGAGCGGACACGTGTTTCGCCCACTTCATACGTGGGCATTATCAACGCGAGACTAGTCCAGTCCAGTAATTAGGGGTGAGTATTCCTTTTAATTTTT